CAGTGTACTTCGGTCCTTCTGCCTGCTCTGCTCCCCGCTCTGGCTCTGGTGAATTCTCTCGCCCTCCTGCGCTTCTGACTGTACCCAGTGCTTGTATAAATAAATCTTAAAAAAAAAAAAAATTAAAAAAAAAGAAAAATTTATTTTTAAAAAATTTATTTATGCATACAAGAACTGCAGTGTAGGCCAGAGGTATGGGGGGTGGGGGTGGGTAACAGAATTAACCAGAGACAGAGTGGGAAGAGCAGAACAGGCAGATCTACTGAAATACACTGCTGAGGGGAGCAGTGGGCAGACAGGAGAGGTCTGCTGTGCCATGTGGGTCAGCTCCCAGGCCAGGGATTGAACTCATGTTGCAGTGCCTGTGGATAGCTTCTTAATACTGACACTTAACCTTTGTGCCACCAGGGAGGCTTAGTCTTCCAATCTTTTATAAATTTGAAATTTTCCAAAATAAAGATTTCTTTTAAATGAAAGGCCTTCAAATAGGGCCTCCCTGGTGGCGCAAGGGGTTAAGCACTGCACTATGAAGCAATACGCAGACTCTGCAGCACGAGTTTGATCCCCGGCCAGCCAGGGAGCTCCCATATGGAGAAGCAGACCTCTCCCGTCTTGCCTGCGCTCCCCTCAGCAGTGTATTTCAGTCATTCTGCCTGTTCTGTTCCCCACTCTGTCTCTGGTGAATCCTCTCACCCCCTCATCTTTGGCCTGTACCCCAGCTCTTGTATGCATAAATAAATAAATCTTTAAAAAAAAAAGTTCTTCAAATAATAAAGCATCTAGAAAATAATATAAGATATATTCATGAACTTGAAGTAATGAAAGATTTAACCTTGAGATAAAGAAGATGCAAAAAGTAATAACCAACCTAAAGGTACATTGGGTTAAATTATTACAATTTTTTTGTTGATTAAAAGGTGTCAAGGTACAGTCTGAGAAGATATTAGCAATATATAACTAAAAGGGGGCTCAAAACCAGAAAATACTGATAATGCCTTCAAATGAATCAAAAAAGCAAGCCAACAAAATCCAGTAGTAAAATAGGCAAGAAATTTAGACAGCTGACAGAAAGAAAATCTGCAAATACTTGACAGATAAAAGACATTACACTTCATTAGTTATCAGGGAAATGCAATATAAAACATAATGACATAATTGTTAAGACTACCAAGTGTTGAAGATGTGGAACAACTGCAGGTACTATCTGCTAGGTATAAACAACTCCTTTAGGAGGATTTACTAGAGTTGAACTTAATCATACTCCATAGCAGTTCTGCTCCTAGTTTACACAACTGAAATGTAAAATTGCTGTACAAGAATGTTCACAGAAACATTATTCATAATAGCCACATATTGTAAACAACTCAAATGTCTCTGCATGGTAGAATAGATTAAGAAATTATAGCCTAGGGCCTCCCCGGTGGCGCAGCGGTTGAGCGCTGGGTTGCAAAGCTGCCCGCAGCCTCTGGAGCGCCGGTTTGATCCCCAGCCGCCAGGCGAGGGTCCCACATGGCGCGCAGACCTCTCCTGCCGCCTGCTGCTCCCCTCAGCAGTGTACTTTGGTCCTTCTGACTGCTCTGCTCCCTGCTCTGGCTCTGGTGAATTCTCTCACCCTCCCGCGCCTCTGACTGTACCGAGTGCTTGTATAAATAAATAAATCTTTAAAAAAAAAAAAAAAAAAAAGAAATTATAGCCTATTCGTACAATACAGTAACATTATTCCAAAGAATGACTTCTTTCTCGCACAACAATATAGAGTAGAGGAATCCCACATATATACTTGTCATGAAAGAACTCAGATACTAAAGGCTACAAACAGACAAGACCAATCCATGATGACTGATGGCAGGAGACTGAGAGAGGGAGGGGTTAGCAACTGGGAATAAGCATGAGGAAATTTGGGTTACTTGTCAATAAGTCATTTAAAAATTTAAATTTATAACAGATATACTTAGCATATTTATTGTGACACCACATTTATATTATGAATATACATATAATACACATATTATTTATTTAATGATATTACACGTGTCTTTAAATTTATGAAACTATATCTAAACAGAAACAAGGTAATTGAAACTAAAGTTGATAAATCAAAAACTAAGGTTAAAGCATATTTTTTTAAACATTTTTTTTTTTAAGATTTATTTATTTATGTAAGGCACTGGGGTACAGGCCAGAGGCACGGGAGGCTGAGAGAATTCACCAGAGACAGAGCAGGGAGCAGAACAGGCAGAAGGACCGAAGTACACTGGTGAGGGGAACAGTGGGTGAGACAGGAGAGGTCTGCCTCACCATGTGGGAATCTCCATGGCCTGCTGGGAATTGAACAGGCGCTGCAGAAGCTGCAGACAGCCTCACAGCGCTGCGCTCAACCCACTGCACCACCGGGGAGGCCCTAAAGCATATTTTTATCTACAGTAGTTCTGACCATTAGAACTTTCTGTGATAAATGTTCTTTATCTGTGCTATTCTATACAGTAGGTTCCAGTCACATGTGGCTATTAAACACTTGAATTGAAGCTATTGAGACTAAAAACCCTGAAATTTAAATTCATTTTCTGGGCCTCCCCTGGTGGCACAGGCGGTCGAGTGCAGCTCTGTGAGCTGTCCGTAGCCTCTGCAGAGCTGGTTCGATCCTGGCCAGCGAGGGAGCAACCCACATGGCACAGCAGACCTCTCCTGTCGTGCCTGCTGCTCCCTTCAGCAGTGTATTTCGTCAGTCTGCCTGTTCTCTTCCCCACTCTGTCTCTGGTGAATCCCCTCACCCTCCCGCGCATCTGGCCTATACCCCGTTCTTGTATAAATAAATAAATCTTTAAAAATAAATAAATTCATTTTCATTTAAAAAGCCACAAGTGGCTATTAGCCCATACAGTGGACAGCACAGATCAAGAGTTATGAAGGCAATCAGTCTGGAAAGCAGTATCTACAAAATACGTTCTTTCTGGGGAGTGGGATAGAATTAAGTGGCTAAGATGGGGCTAAGTTGTTTTTATCATACTTTTGTGTACTACTAAATGTGTAGTTTTCTGTGAGTATTAGAAATTGATTTAAAAAAGAAAGCTACTACTTTTGAGTCTTTTGAATATGTGAAATACACACTCAACTGCTAACAGTGGTGATCTTTGGGTGGTAGTGTTATGGTGAATTTCCCCTCCTTTAAGAAAAATTGATATTTCTGGGCCTCCCTGGTGGTACAAGGGGTTAATTAAGCACAGCACTATGAAGCTATCCACAGCCTCTGCAGCAGCAGTTCAATCCCCGGCTGGCCGGGGAGCTACCCACATGGCGCAGCAGACCTCTCCTGTCTCACCTGTTGTTCCCCTTAGTAGTGTATTTCACTCAGTCTGCCTGTTCTGTTCCCTACTCTGTCTCTGGGTGAATCCTCTCACCCCCGTGATTCTGGTCTGTACCCCAGTTCTTGTATGCATAAATAAAATCTTAAAAAAAAGTATTAATTTTTAAAGATTTCTATATATATTAATTTTTTAAAGATTTATTTATGCATACAAGAACTGGGTTCAGGTCAGAGGTGGGGCGGGGGGGAGGTGTGAGATCCACCAGAGACAGAGCGGGGAACAGAAAGGGCAGATTGACTGAAATGCACTGCTGAGGGGAGCAGCAGGCGTGACAGGAGAGGTCTGCTGTGCCATGTGGGTTGCTCCCTGGCCGGGGATCAAACTCGTGCTGCAGTGGCTGTGGACAGCTTCATAGGTTGCGTCTTAACCCCTTGAGCACCAGGAGGCCCTAAAAAAATAATACTTCTAGGGCCTCCCTGGTGGCACAGCAGTTGAGCGCTGGGCTGCAAAAGCTGCCCACAGCCTCTGCAGCGCCGGTTCGATTCCCAGCCGCCAGCGAGGGTCCCACATGGCGCGACAGACCTCTCCTGCAGCGCCTGCTGCTCCCCTCAGCAGTGTACTTCGTCAGTCTGCCTGTTCTGTTACCCGCTCTGGCTCTGGTGAATTCTCTCACCCTCCCGCACTTCTGACTGTACCCAGTGCTTGTATAATATTTTATAAAAATTAATATTTCTAAAAGGTTTACCATAAGGAAATATAAAAATAACAAATTAGTAAACATTAAAATTGAAAAAAGTGGGGCTCTCAAACTTAATCCCTTTTCTCTAATAAAGAAAGGAAGGTAGAAAAAGCAAGTACTGCTAAAAAATTTACAGATGAATTAATAATGGTTTCTGCCCTCGTGGAACTTCCAAATAAAAAGAGGAATCAAAGTGTTTCTAGTATATACTTATAAATCAGTAATTTGACTTTTCAAAAACAATGACCATAGTACATTCACATTGA